AAAGTTTATAATTGTGTAAATAAACTACACATTTAACTATGTAATTATTGAGCTTTTTTAGTTCATTATCAAAATTATTTCTACGCACAAAGATACATCTTCATAAGAAACACAAAAATCGTGTATTAATACTAAATATATTTTATATCAATTATGATATTACCGGCCAAAATTAGATTAATATTTTGGAGTTAGGAGCAAAACTAAAATACAGCCTCAGTTTCCACTATCGTAAAAATATTTTAATTTAATTTCATAAATTTTTAGAGCGTATATTTTATAATTATAGGGTTGCGCCTCGCGATTAGTGCTTCAAAAAAAAGGTAAACTTATTGTGCAGGCCCCGTGACTTACTAGGAAGGGGGTCCTATTATTTTTAAACCTCTGGTGAATAGAGCACATCCGCACACGAGCTAGTAGTTACGGCATTGCTCGAGAGCCCTTCCTCTCTTTTTCACCTATTAGGACATTTGATATGAAATCAATAAAATGTGTTCATTATTATTACATACAGGTACAAAATATCATTGGAGAAAATTGTTATTCCAATAATTAAACGCACGTTGTAACTTTAACTAGTGTTTATTAATATTTTGAACTATTTCGTGATATCAATAAACAAAATTATATGATTAATGAACAATCGCATTTTATGTAAAAACAGAATTATTAAAATAGTTTTCTCCTAATTAACAATTGTGTTCATAAAATCAATAAATACATTTATTAATTTATGGAACATTAATTTAACGTTATATCAATAATTTTTGTTTATTAGCTTTTATCATGAAAATATTATAGCTCGACAATTACATAAGAATTCGATAATATAGTATTAATTAGCGTTATGAATTACAGAAATAATTGTTGTTAATTAGTTTATAAAAACAGTTAAAAGTAAAGTATGTACCATAAATTGTAATATGTAATAAAGTAGTTAAGTAGTACAGCCAGCGCTCAATGTAAAAGAAGTGATCGCAGTAATCACGGGAATAGAATGAGAATTTAGTACAACTGAGGGAACAAATTTTTGTTTATTAATATTAGGAAATTTTTAATAAAATAATGAATTTCATAACAATAAACTAGAGTTTGCAATATTAAAAAGTATGTTCATAAAATTAATAAATTCAGATATTTTCGGTCAATAAACCTAATACGGTTAGTGGCCAATACAAATTTAGGCGTGTGCAGCATACATTTTTAAAATATTCACCTTTGCTTGAAGATTGACTAATCTCTGCATGATTACTCACTAGTATTTTAGGAACTCAATCTATCGATTTAAGTCGATAGAACAAAGGAAGCGCATTAAATTTTTTTTGTAAGTTAATTTATTCTTCTGGACTGCTGCAGTCCAAATCCTTGCTTTTAATTTCTGCACATTATATCCATTCTATCTTCCTTTTTATTCCACTAGTCATACGACTGATCGTCCGCTTCTCTAGATGATTAAATTGGCCAATGAGGACTAATTTTTTTTGTATTTAATCAAATTTTCTTTTGTTTGTATACATAAACTTATATATATATTTTCCATTTCTTTACTGTGTTCTTTAATTTTATATACTTTGTGTAAATGTTCTGATGATAATAAATGTATAATTTTTGTTATTATTGTTAAATAAAAATATTTGGGCTTGCCTCCTTTTATACATAAATAAATAAATATTACATGATATTGAATTGAAAAAAAGTTTTCATTTTTATTACCTTAATTTATGAATAAAACCTTTATAGAATAAATTATATAAATATTATATATATTTAGTAAATATTTTCAAACATGATAAAGACAAAATGAAGAAACTTTAAAATCAACATTGAATCATTTTATTAAGATAACAATACTGTAGATAAAAAAAAATAAGTTCAAAAATTTTGTCTACATTATATTTTAAAAATAATATAGATTCTTAAAAAAATATAACAGACCATCACAAATTAAAACTTATATTAAATTAATATTACAACGTTTTGATTGAAAATAAATTACTATTTATTTTATTGTAGAATTAATAATAGATAATGTCATGGATATAACTAAACAGATTTTAAAACTATATAGGAAAATCTTAATAACTTTTAAAGAAGCATACAAGTACGATAATAATTAATTCTTAACGTTATAATTATGTTAAATTCGATTATTAATAAAAAAATGTGAAAAATTTTATGTTATGTTTATAATACCTTTTGGAAACATAAGTTTAAAATTTATTATATCACTTTTGGATAAAAAAATAAATAATTAAATAATTATTATACATATTATTAAATGATTAAATGTAAATTGTGTTTTATAAATTATTACTTTTGCTTTAAAGTTCTAATTTTCAGCAATCATATTACGTAATAAGAATAGGTCACTTGTGGCTAATATTATTTAAAATATTTTAAGGGAGGTTAATATTTTGTCACATAAATATAAATACCACGCTAAATCAATAACATCTTTTTATTTAAATTTAAAAATTGATTGGAGATATGATTAGTGAAATACAGTTGGGTATTAAGCAATACCATTTAGAAAAAATCAGAAAATCCGTATACTTTTGTCTGATTTCAGTGTACCCAAAAGAATATATTTTTAACTAATTGTAATATGTGTAGTATAGTTATGTCTCTTATTTAATTTGTTAATGATTTTTAAACATTGACTGTTTATACACCCAGAGAAAAACCTCGATCTATATAATAAATTCATTGTTTAATTTGATAAATATATCATTACTATTGAAACTATGATATATTTATCAATATGATAATTTTTTTTCTTGTCTTGAACAATAATTATTTATAAGAATAATTATTTTGTTCGTATTAATAAAACATTATCATAAACCCTTGATAAAATTTCTCTATCAAAATTGATTGAGGTTTTTCTTTGGGTGTAAATAGTTAGGTAGCGTATTAGTATTTAAGTATAAATAATCTGAATTCCCGAGGAGTCCTCTGACCCACTGCTGAGGGAACCTATTTTCATAAATATTTCATTTTATTAAACTTTTGAAATGTATAACTTTTTAAATAGAATTTTCTGTAATAATGCATTGGGTTTTTGTTTAACTTAACCCTGTGTGTGTATCTTCCTGTTATCCTTGCCGAATAGGAATTCAGTGAAATGTTATATTTCTAGTATTAATTACTAGTACTTTTGGGTGTATATGTATCTTGTTGTACCGTGGAGCATGTGACATAATGTAATTAAATTGTCTCAGGCCTAACTGACAACGGTTGTAACTTTTGTCATTATCATTTTGTTGACATTTAAAAAAATAATCATTTTTGACTTCTTAAACTACATCATAGTCCTACTAACATTCTACTGTTAGTACTAACCAATGTTCAATTAACTTTTTAAATATTATTTCAAAAAATTCACTTCATGTTTTATTAATGTATTCATATTTAAGTACTTCTCTTGGGAGGTTTCTTTAATCTGCTAAACAAAAAAATTTTGATGGGTCCATAACAATTTTAAGACAAATACTCATTAAATTACAATCATTTTAATATACAGGGTGATTTTTTTATCATAACCACTCAATTACTTACAGAATAATAATAATTTAAAAAATTTTTTTTATTACTATCTTTAGTTACACATTATTCTTGAATTATTAACTATGTAATACTTTTTAAGTTCATCCCTTATGCCTGGTAAGGGTGTCAACTTTGTTTTTTTAAATGGTAACACATATTTTTAATTTAATAAAATGTTTGAGTTTTTAATTCAATAATAAATGGCATTTGAATTTTTAATAAAACTTAATTTGTTTATTAGATATAAACATTTAAAGTTTCAAATTTTTGAGTTAATATATAGGTATAATACACAAGGGATTACAAATACAGGTAGCTAATTGGTTTTTTATGATATTGCTATCACAGTCACGGATTGTTTATTATCAATTATGACTATCTATAGATATACTTTTTGTATTGTCAGTTAGTGTATTTATAAACTCACAACAATGTACCTTACTATCATTGATAATAACAATGCTGTGTACCTGCTAATATCGATGTCATAAAAAATCAATTAGCTACCCGTATTTTTAAAATACAATTTTATTATTGTTAGCTAATGTTTAAAAAAATTAAAATAATAAGTAATAAATAAATAATAGTTTCCACCAATAAATACATTTTTTTAATTATGTATTATTTTACATGTTATTAATATGATATTATAAGTAAAAAAATGTGTTGGACTACTCATTAGTTGTATTGTTCATCAAAACTTAGAAATGTATTGTTTAACACTTATTTATTTTTATCTATTTAACAGTTATTATTACCAGGGCTCTGAATTATATGCATTAATAAATTTTGTTAAGTTAATCCGAAGATACTATAAGCCAGTATAAATTTTTATCATTTGATCCGAAAGCATAGTAATGTATATTTCCTGATGTTATAGTTTTGAGAGGAATTTATCTATGTTAGTCTTCTCTAATACCAAAAATATTTCTGCATAACTATATAATCCTATGACAAAGTTGCACAAACTTGGGACCCTTCAAAGTGGTTCAAACAAAATTTAATTGCATATAATTCACAACCTTGATTATTATTTTCTAGTTATACATTTTATGGGGAAAAAGTTTTCTTATCCAACTAATTGGGATCCACCATAGTTTAAATTATTTACGTTTACTCTAGTACTATTTTATATGTATTTTCATTAATTATTATTTTAATATAATAATCGCAACATGTTCTAGTTACCTGAATAACGAACGACTTATGAGGGGACAATATATTCTACTACTTGCATACAACACATTAAATTAACGATTTGCCTTAATCTATAGAAGACTCAAGTTCAGTAATAAAGCTTTATGTGAACTCAAAAATGGGCTACTCATTACTACCCTACAAATGGTCCCAAACATCTCATTAAACCAAAAATCATAACTTAGTTAATCCAAATTATTTGTTGGGATGTAATCCAGTAATTATTCAGTTAAAAAGCATACAAAAATTATACTTACACGTATTCTTGAAAACTTTCAGTTGTGCTGCCATCTGGCCATTCAGCATAACAAATTACTCGTTCGCCGCCGTCACGAAGCTTTTCAGCAGTTGTGGTTGTCGTAAAAAATATTAAATTTGGTATTGACAATATAGTGCTAATTAACCAAATACCGGCGGCTATCATTAATGTTGTTTTCCGACTCAATCGAGGTCTCAATGGATGGATAATCGCAATATATCTGTAAAATTACAATAAATTATGCATCGATTTTTCCGATTAATCCATTTGAGATTCATTTATTGTATAAAATAAGATTTGAAATCATTGCTATAATGATCATAAACTATAATGATGATCTGAATGATTGGTCAATCATTATTTACTATGTAAAAATGACGTGTTGACATGCGACATGACGAGCACTGTAACGTTCATTGATCGCTAACAAAACATTGATATACACAAAACTACAAGATAATAAGTTAAGAACGACTACTTGTCGTACACTAAACTAAGTCAGATAAGATCCTGCATTGTTTTCGATTAATGCGCACCGATTAAAATCCAGAGACGAGAGAAACAAGACTTCCTCTTATTCTATTCTTTGAAAAAATACTCGTGACTTATATAGTTAATTACTATCAGTGCTCTTTCGTTATTATTCGCATGTCAAACATACGAACAACAAATTTAATCATACATTTCTTCGAAATGTGGGTAAATATTGTTCTTAAATAAAAACAAAATAATCAACAATTATGTAATGGAATCTGTTTTATTATAAAATAATTAATATTTATGACTATTTTCGATATTTTATATATATGTAAATTACATTTAATTGATAACTACAGAGTCTCGTGTATTATTTTAATGTTTAATCATTGCAGGTAAAATTTCAAATTTTTTTTTTTATATTTGTCACTGTAGTCCATTAATATTAAATAATTCGAAAGATTATTTTTAAACAGTTATTTTTACTTTCTTGATTTTTAAAAGATTGTATTGTAATTGAAATGAAAAAAGCAAAATTTTTATCAACTTCAATGTGTAATGTTAAAAAAAAAAAAACTTAATTAAGAGTAGATGTCTAACAAGATACGGTGATGGAATTTTAGTAAACGTGTACGTCTGAGAAAAGTTCAAGTATGCAGGTGGGTCGTACAATTGCTATTGTGTTGCCACAAGTACACTTAGTGCCGTGTTAACTGTCATCGGTGACCTAGGCAATCATATATTTGGCGCCCCTATTTAATATATTTTTGAACAAGATACATAATATGCAAAAAAACCTTTGCTCCTCCCCTTGCACGATCTGTGTGCACCGCATACACACTGCAATAGTTTCTACTGCCGCCGTTCGTACCACATAAAACAAGTCAAAACATGATTGTTTCTGTAGCCGTCGAGTGGACAGAGAATTTTACGCGTTGATAAGTTTAATGCTCTGACCACAAACTATATGAAAACTATTTTCATATAGTCTGTGCTGTGACCTTCGGCTTGTTTCCCATAGAACAAAGCGACTACCGCCATCGCTACGGTACGGCGGCGCTGTTCTTTCGGACCGGTCCCTGGGACGTGTGTGTGTGTCATCTTCTAATGACCGTCACTTCATTCGCGCTCGTCTGTACGGTCGTGTCGACTGCAGTTTCTTCCGACACATCGCGTTGTCGCCGCAACCGTTGCCCCAGTGTCCATTCGGTTAACACGTTTTACGGTGTAATTGCTTCCTGATCACCGCGGTGTTCAATCGGTTTTGAAGTTTTGTACATCCATCGGCACGAGTATCTGTCGTGTACGCCCAGCGGACTTTGCCAACATGGTATGCATTGTATACATTACGTGCTACTACAAACAACCATCGCCTCCAACAGTCCTGCTCTTGATAACTAATCAAAACTGCCATTTTATTTTATAGCCATAATACAGTACACTTAACAATTATTATCAGTCAGATATTTGTAAATGGTATTTGTGCATATCACTGTGCTTACTCCTTGGTTGTTGTTTTTCCGTGTTAATGGGATGTTTTATTAACAGCCAAGTTATTATTATACTTAATAATGATAACTTATTGTGTATATTTATTTAATCATTAAATTAATCTAGTTTGCTATTCTTTTAATACTTTTTCTTCGTATTTATAATTTGTTTGAATTTTCAATTTATTTATTATTTGTTTTTGTTTTTAACGGAAATATTAAAATTATATTATTTAAATTAAAATTAACTATATTAAAATTAATATTATTAATTTAAAAACTAAAAAATATTAAACTCAAAAGCCACAAAAAAATTCTGAAAAGTCGCGGATACGTTTTTTGAAAACAATGTTGCCATTATCAACGCTAAACACATAATGACATGCCGACTAGAAAAAACTCTCTTATACACTCCTAGTGACCTTATCACCTAGTGACGTTATCACTAGTTAATATTATCACATTTTGCCAGTTTACACAAGTTTAATAATGAATTTTTCAGTGGACCAAGATCCCAATTAATTAAATTGTTTTTATTTTTAAACATTTCTTTTGCCTCCCTAATATTAAATTCTTTACGTTTTTAATTAGTTTCATGGTTTTAATGAAGTGATTATGTGTCAATAAATATTCAGCCACTGGAGATTTCTTGATTTTTAATGTTTCTTAAGTGCTCTTTAAACCTAACCCCTATGTTTTTTTTGTTTGTCCTACGTTACATTTATTAAAACTTTCACATTGTATTTTATAAATGCCTGATATCTGTCCTTCTTCTACCTTATCTTTAGAGTTACCTAATAAATCTCTTAAATTATTACTCTTAGATGTTACTAAAGTAATACCAAAATATATTCTAGCCAGTCCATTTGAGATACCCGGATAATATAAAATGGGTGATCTAATTACTTTTTGTTCCCCACGCTAGTGAGTGTACTAGCTGCCCTCCTTTCTTTATTCTACTTTTGTGTTCGGACTAATTTTGAAATTATGTTTTCATTATACCCATTAAATATAGCAATTTTTTTTATAACCAGTCCTTTATTAAAATCTATTTTATTCATCGGAATATTAATTAATCTGTAAACCATACTATTAAAAGCTGCCAATTTGTGTTTCCAGGTGTGGTTCGATTTGTTCGGAATGTATCTGAACGTGTGCGTGTTTTTCCGATACATTTCAAAATTTAGTTCCCCCTCTGCTCTTTTAACTAATTCCCTCAAACTTTAACTCGAATTTTATTGTTTAGGCCACTTTTAGAACAGAGTAGTTGAAGTGCAGTGATATGTTCAGAAGTCTATTTTTCTGGGTTCATTCACCACAAAGTCTGAATGTTTAACCACATCATAAAAACCAAACATTCACGATTATCAAATAAATATTTTTTTCTTAGTTACATCTTAAAATAATAATTATGTTATGAAAATCATTTATGATGTTTTCAGTTTTCTTACTTATTTCTAGACTTATAAATTGTAATAATTTTTTCAATTAATTTTTTATGCTTTATAAGGGAGTAGTCTTTATTTTTCTAACGACAACATATACATTTAATTACCTTATAGAATAAAATATTCTCTAATTAAGAAAATGGCTGACCGAAGACAACTTTAAATCCATTATTTTGGAAGTTAAACTATTTTAAAATATATATTAAATAATACATATTATTCTGTGCCAATCTTCCTACACTCTATATTTTAATATGTTAACTTCTCAAGTATTATTTTAAAAATTGTTGTCAACACTTTGTTGAAAATGTTATACATATTTTTTGTCATTATTTTATATGTATATATACTAAGTTAGTCATAATTAAGGTTTTAGATATTTTTTAAAGTTTTAGATTTTTTATTACTTGTGTATTTAAAGTATTCAGCTTATAACTTCTATAGATAAAGTTTTCAATTTTATTCATACTCTAAGCCGAAATATTAAGTTCAGTTTCAGTTAATAGTTAGACTACACCAAAGTTTCTTATAAAATAAAGCTCGCATGAAATGATGTATGTTAAATGTTATGTGTTCATTGTGGTTGTCAAGATATTACTAAATTCGTACCAGTATGTGGCGTTTGATTGGCAAACAAAATGTACAATATCAAAAGGGTCAAAAAATTTCCAAAGCCTAAATTTTATTCTAAAATTTAAAGTTGTTTAAGTGTATATAGACAACTTAAAGCTAGTCAAACTAAGTGGTTTTCAGTGATTGTCGCCATACTTGTGTATAAAGAATACTCTCTTCTAACTATAGTTATAGCTCCAGAAATATTTAAGTTCTAAAGAAAATGTCTTTACACTCATAAACATCGGATTTATAAATAGAGCCATTTATCAGAAAGGCGCCCCAACGGCCCGCATACCTCATAGCTATGCGAGTCGCCTTGGATGAGGCGGCTTCTACCCCGTGGAAAGCCATAGGAAAATGGAGGTAGGCCGAGGCTACTCATCATGTAATAGCCTAGACCCGGACAAGCAGGAAGAAGGAAGAGGTGAAAGGAATGTGGACTGGGCCTAAGGGACCCATTCCGGGGAGACGAGGAGGCTCCCGTGTTGCAGGGGGACGGCGATATTCACCCGACGCCCACCCGCCCGAAAACCCTATTCGACCTGTTGAACGTATGCCAATTCAGCAGGGTACCACGGAGGACTGACCTTACAAGTCCACCCAAGAGATAACGGCTTAGCCCAAGAGCCTTAAGACTCTCCAACGAGCTAGGTAGCCATACCCCTCGCCAAGTAATGGTCGCGGCGACTGTATGCACATCAGTCGATTGGTGTCTCGCCATGATTTCGGACTTTAAATCAAGGCTGCTGGCGTACTTTCGTACTTTCTCTTCGTGCCAGTCTTTGATGTTGGTGACCGAAACAACCTGTACATCCAGGATAACGGATCTCGTACCTCTTGTCTCGTCCGCAATAGTTGCGACGAGGTCCGGCTTGAGATTACCATCCCTTAAGACGTAGAGGTGCTCACGCTCTACTTGAAACCCTTTTTCGGTAAGCGCTCCAGCTATGCGCTTCACGACGTGGTCGTGTCGGAGAATTCTTCCCCCATGAGTTCTTGGGCACACTTGGACGATGTGCGCAAGGGTCTCCGAAGGCGCAGCACAACCCCGGCATGACACCGGAATGTTGCGCCCCCGCCCAACGCGCTTGCGGCTGGGTAGGGCATTAATCCTAATCTTGGCATACTGCTTAAAGTCGCGGCCAGTTATACCATCTGGCCTGCGCATATACGCCGTAGATTCCCAGCTA